GTAACGTTTCAGGTTACGACCAGGAAGAAGACTGGGAGTCATGAGCGTGAGTTCATTAAGATCAGTATTCCGCGTTTCAGTGGCGGTTCGGCGCAGAAATGGCTCCAGTGGATTCAACAGTTCGAGCATGTTAGTAAGATGAAGAAGTGGTCGTCGGAAGAGAAGGCACAGCACCTGTGTTTGGTGCTAGATGACGAGGCATTAGATGCGTGGGTTGACACGTCTGGATCCGAAGACATGGCGGACCAAGACACGTTTGATGACGCGTACCAGAAAGTGGGGTCACATGTTCGTGCCGAGCATGTATCACGAGCGACTGGAGGAGGAGTTGTTTCTCTTTGCGAAGAGACGCCATGAGTCTGTGGCTGAGTGTCATCAGCGAATGCGACAGATCACTCGAATGCTGAAGAATTTACCCACAAACGCTCTGGTTGTCGACGAGCAGTCGATGATTCCGGACGTTCAAGCGGGCTATGCCAAATGAGTGGAAGACAGCATACGAATTCAGCGGTGTCCACCTCACCACCATGCCTAAAGCTGTCCAGTACTTTGAACGGCTTGAACAGTCTGAACGACGTCAGGGCAAGGAGCGTCATTCTGGAGGCTGGAAGCAGCACGGTAAGCAGAATGGTGGTAAGCCGCATGGCGGTTACAAAGGTAGCGGGAAGAACTTTGGGAAGAAGGATAAGAAGGAGTCCCACTCGTCAAAACAGTTTCAGTCACGGGAGAAGAGCAACGGTGACAAGTGGTGTAGTTTACACAAGACGAGCTCGCATTCTGATAGCGAGTGTTTTACGCAGAAGAAAAATACGTCAAACCACGGCGGTAATAAGTGGTCAGCAGCAAAGAAGATTGAGGAAGCGAAGATGACACTTGTGGAGGAGATGGATTCTGATTACTCGCTCAGTGACGAGAGTGAGTGTAAAGTCATCGGTAGTATACTGAAGGACAGAGAGCCGTCTAAGAAACCTCCTATGCGTCTCCGGTTCCGATTATGCAAGACAAGGCAGGAGCGCGTCGCACTCGTGGATACAGGATGCGGAACAAGCTTCATTAACGGGGAGTTACTGGCGGCAAATCGTGAGCTGGGCTTTGAGATGTCTCCGTCTGATCTGACATACGAACAGGTCGAGGGCTACGTTAAGGTGGCTGGATCGACACAAGTTCAATTTCGTTTGATGGATTTGAACTATGGGTCTCGAATTACGCATAGATTTTCCGTCGTCAACGATGCCAAGGACGAGATGGTGATCGGGCGGGATCTATTAAGTGCGCTTGGGGTAATTGTAAATTTCCGCGATGGGATAGTGGAATGGAATGGCAACACGGTGGCAGTGAACACGGGAGACAAGTCCACAGCAAGTGATGAAAATGGAGGTCCGAACATACAGGAGGAAGTGAAGGAGATCAACGACACCTCTGTGGCGCCTGAAGCTATGGTCGGGACAGCAGAAATTGATCAGTCCACATACGAGCAAGTAATCAAGCTGCTTCAGCAATTCGAGCAATTGTACAATGGGCATTTAGGGCGGATGAAGTTTCCTGACTATATTCTCCCTATGGCAGAGCAGTATACACCAATACAGGCTCGCCCATATTCAATTCCAAGGAGCGAAGAAAACGCAGCGAGAAAAGAATTGTATCGACTCATGCAGCTCGACGTGTTGGAGCAGATATTCGATAGCGAATGGGCTTCTCCGGCTTTCTTCTTAAAGAAACCAGATGGGCGTCTGCGATTATTGACCGACTTCCGAGCTTTGAACAAGTTTTTGAAGCGTAACCCCTATTACGTGCCGCTAATTCGGGAAGTCTTGATACGTCTGGGCGGAGCGAAGTTCTTCTCCTCTCTGGACGCTAATATGGGATACTATGCTAGGCAGTTGGCAGAAGAAAGCAGACCGTTTACGGCATTCTGTACACCGTACGGGAAATTCCAGTATAAGAGACTCCCAATGGGGATCTCAACGGCGCCAGATGAGTACCAGGCGTGCATGTCTAGAATTCTGGGCGATTTGGACTTTGTTGTCGTCTATTTAGACGACATACTCATCTTCTCTAAAACTGCAGAAGATCATTTGGAGCATTTACGAATGGTGTTCTCGCGTCTACAGAAGTTCAACGTGACGCTTAATGGTAAAAAGTGTCGAATTTTCTGTGCAACTGTGGAGTACTTAGGATTTACGATCAATGCAGACGGGATTAAGCCTCAGGAAAAGAAGATCCGTGCCATTCTCCAGATTCAGCGGCCGAAGAACAAAAAGGAACTACGTCGGTTTATCGGTATGATAAACTACTACAGGGAGATGATACCAAGAAAGACGGCGATGCTGAAGCCACTAACACGATTGACGTCTCCAAAGACGGCGTTTCAGTGGACATCCAGCGAGAACAATGCTTTTGAGGAGATTAAGAAGGCGTTGGCCAAAGCAGTACTACTGACATTCCCCAATTTCTCGAAACCTTTCGAGATATATGCAGATGCAAGTGGAAAGCAGTTGGGTGGATTGATTGAACAACAAGGAAAATTAGTAGCAGCTTACTCTAGAAGTCTCACTACCGCGCAGCAAAACTATACGACGACTGAACTAGAGTTATTATCGGTGGTGGAGATCTTGAAAGAGTATAGAACAATGCTGCTTGGATTTCCTATTGTGGTCCGCACGGACCATAAAAATCTCATTTATCCAACCGAGAATTCATTGCGGGTCAAGCGATGGAAATTGCTACTATCTGAATATCATCTTACCTGCGAGCATATTCACGGAAAGGAAAATGTTGCTGCAGATGCATTTTCTCGACTGGCGTGCGACTCGGAGCAGAAGATAGGAGAGACTGAGCTGGAGGCGCTCTTGATTGATCCTGTTGAGTGTGTTCTGGAGGGCAGCTACATCAAACAATACCAAAATGAAGATTCCGCTATCCAAGACATACTCCAAGCCTGCATGAATGGTACAAACGACCCGGATTACAAGATACAAAATATCATGGGTGCACGTCTATTAACTTACCAGAAGCGTGTATTAATTTTCACCGAATTACGTCAAGAACTGGTCGATTGGTATCACACTCAATTAGTACACCCTGGTGCCAAGCGCCAGTATCACACGATGAAGTCATTCTTTTATTGGTCGGGAATGAAGCAAACAGTGGTGAGCTTTGCGAGGAGATGTCTTACATGTAAGAGAGCCGAACTCCACGGTGGACCTCAGGATTATGGCAAGTTACCACCACGAGAAATGCATACAGTCGATCCTTTCGACGTAGTGCATGTGGATACCATGGGGCCTTACGGTAGTGATCGCTACTATGCGCTAACAGTGATTGACGAAGCTACAAGATGGCTAGAAGTCTCCATTCAAGAAAATAATCGTGGTAAAACCACTGCAGAGAACTTTGACGTGACGTGGTTATGCCGATATCCAAGACCAAAAGAGGTTGTGTTTGATCAAGGCAACGAATTTAACACTACAGAGTTTCAAGAAATGCTTGCCAGCTACGCGGTCAAGCCAAAACCAATCTCCACCAAGAACCCTCAGGCAAATGGCAATTGTGAGCGAGTCCATTTAGTCATTAACAATGGTATTCGATGCTACCCGGAAGCAGATTGGCGACAAGTGATTCAATATGCAGCATTTGCAGTACGTGCGAGTACCACACGATTTG